TAGCATTTTGTAATAGCAGCTGCTGTGCTGTTCAAAGAGAAGCTCACGTTCTGTTTACGGACTAAGGAGGATCTGTAAACAGAACTGTGAGTCACACAGGTGGAAAAGCGCAGCAATAACAGTGCAACAAGAATCACAGACATTTGCAGACCAGACTCTCATGGTGAGTCAGTGCTTTAGCTTCAACACGTTTTCCCTCATTGATTTTCTGACAATTTTTTTTTTTTTGGCTAGACACAAGAGCTGTTTCATCACCTGTCCTAGCTTTACAATGGAAAACATTTCCCAGGTGCTTGACTGGTGTGTCATTTCTACCATCAATAGTCCATACTGCAGGTTCTTCTGTAAACAGAACAGTAGAAATAGTCACGTTGTTAGATTATATGCGTATAAACTTGCAATCTGGTTCATTTTATCAAGGAATGGCAATTCCTTGCGAGCACAAGGCATATATATGTGTGTATGTATATATATGAATGGCAATTCCTTGCGAGCGCTAGGCATATGTGTGTGTGTGTGTGTGTGTATATATATATATATTGTGTGTATATATATACACACACACACCCCAAATGTGGCTGAACAATATACAACAAGCATCAGATATACAAGGATGTAGAGAAAGAGTGAGAGGACGGGTAGATGCTGAAAGAACTGGAACAGAAATAAACTGGCCAGATGGACAGGAAGGATGAACGGAGAAGTTCAGAAACTGGAGTCTGTGAAAAAGTAACAGATTTTGGGGAAATTATGTTTTTGACTGAAAATTGCTGGACTGGGAAATGGATGATATCATGGCACACAGGAATGAGAATGAAGCTATGAAGTGATGATCAGAAAACTGTGAGTCAGGAGCTGTGGAGAAGCTACTTTAGATGAAGAGGACTTACAGTATCCTTCCTTATAAGCAGACTTATACCACCCTTTCTAGGAAAAAAAAATTGATCACAAATATGTGACAAAATTACTTGATGGCTGTGGACTTTACAATTCCTGTAACTGGACTATCTCAGGAAGATTTCTTTGCCTTTCCTTGTAACGGCAGGTCTTAACTGCTTTAAGTCTTGTTAACTCAATTTGCTACCTAGATGCAGAGCTTAGCTTATCCATTATCACATCTTTCAAACCAAGTGTAAGAACAACACAGCAAGTTAATATAGTTCATCCTGTTTTTCATACTCCTGAGGTTCATGTCCCACTTGTGGCTTACCTGTGCCAAAACCTCTCTTTTACATGAGCTCCCGCCTTGCTTTTGAAGAGAGAATCTTACACGCTCTGTAACGTGACATTTGAGACTGGAGGACACCCAAGCTCTGCTGTGGGCAGGAGGAGGCTTCTTGAGGAGCAGTTCAACACTGTGCAACAGGCTCCTGCAAGAGCTCACCTAGAGCTGAATCCTACTCACACCCCATGGCTACGAGTTTCTCTAGCTGCAGCAGGAACTGCAAATAATCTACGCAAAATCTATAAATAAATAAAAACAGAACTACCACCAAAATGAAGTGTTTGATAGTCATCCCTCTGATGATAACAATTTGTCGGCAGTTAAAATGCAAAGAAATCCAGCAAGTCCCACAGACTTAGGCATTTCCACTGCAACCATGTGGTCTTATATTTACCAATGAGTAATTTTCAAAATGTGTTTTTTTTCCCCTTCCCCTCAAAAGTAGCCTTGCAAAAAACCTAAACCCTCTATTAAAAAAAAATGGTGATGAAAGCATGAGGGATGTTTTTCAAGAACAAAAATCAATTTGAAAAGTTTCAGCTGAATGATTCAGCAGACTTTCAAGAATATCTGCCTTCTTATCATAGCTTTTACAGACCACATCTAAAATAAGTTACTTATTTTGAGGACTAACACGTAAGAGAATGCCACATGTGTCTAAGACTTCCATTTAACTGTACCCATAAATAACACGAATCCTATTTCTAGCTGATTTTCCACCTCGATTAACTGATGGACACAATTTCTATCCCCTTAATTTAACCAGAGCAGAACTGTAACATCAAATCACACCAAGACAGACTACTACGAAAATTCTCACTTCAGAACTCACAAGTGTACCAACCATATTATTTTACTTGTTAGTATATACATTAACACTCAAAAGTGATAAAAACAAAGTCACTTTTTTAATAAACAGCATATGATACAGACTGCAAAGTTAAATAAAAAGCAGACTTTTTACAGTTTCTGATGAACATGAACTACAAAAAATGTAATAGGATATAGGCCAAACTTCTTGTTATTTGAGTATCATAGCAGAAGGGAAAGGAGATATACAACTTCTTTTTCTTTTTTTTTTTTCTCTTTTTTTTTTTTCCCTCCACCCCCCCTTTTTTTTTTAAAAAAGGATACTGCAAGACTATACTCAGTACAACACATGCATCTTGCTGTATCTTATTTTTTTTGGCCCTTTATTACTAAAAATGTCTTGCTTTCTAACTATTATACCACAGAAATTTATCACAGAGTGACACAAACTAAACATGGCGACATTGCCCCCCACCCCCACCCCGTTAGTGGTTATCTTGAGATAATTGTCTCATTAAAAAGTTATTTCAGGTACTTTTGGGTGTTTATACTCCCTTGTAGATGCAGCCATGTGACTTAGCTTCACCAGCACAACATATAGGCATCAAGAGGATCTACCCTGCAGGCTCTATTTATCCAAAATCCCAGCTGCGCCACAGGCCACATTAGGAAGGGCCTCCCCAGTAGGCCCTTCCCCTCTCAGCGCTGGCCAGACCCACCTGGAGCGATGGGTCCTATTCCGAGCTCCCCTTTACAAGAGACATGGACAGACTGGAGCAAGTCCATCAGGAGGAAGATGAAGGGGCTGAAGCACCTCATAGATGAGGAGAGTCTGGGAGTGCTGGGACTGTTCAGCCTGGAGAAGAGCAGGCCCAGAGGGAACTTGTCACTGTGTATGAACCCCTGACAGAGGGGAGCACAGACGGCTCAACACGGCTCTTCACAGAGGTGCCCAGTGAAAGGACAAGAGGAACCAAAGTACAGGAAACTCCACTCAAACATCAAGAAACCCTTTTTTTTAAAAAAAAAAAAAAAATACTGAGTGTGCTCAAACATGGAGCAGGTTGTCCAGAGGAGTTGTAGCCTCTTTTTCTAGAGATACTCAAAACTTGACAGACTCAGCCCTAAGGAACCTGCCGTAGCTGTTGCTGCTTTGAGCAGGGAGGATGGGAACAGCCCATCTCCAGAGCTGCTTTCCAACCTCAACAATTCCATGAAAATTCTTGCAGTTGAGAGAGCAGTTGATAGAAATACGCTCAAAACTTCAAACATGAAAATCCAGGAAAGCAAACTGCAGCCCTATGTTATTTTTAAAATCCTTGTCTCCAGCATTTTTATATACTGGATTTCTTAGAATGCAAGTGAATTTTCATAGTGTTATTGAACACTCACATTTAAAACTTGCAGGAGTGGGAGGAGGGGAAAAGGATGATATCTAGATGAGGAATTACACATTTTTCTTCACAACAAAATGTGACAAATTTAGACCGTAGTGGCAGTAAGGCAAAAAGAGAGCTCATCTATTCGCCTGCTCCCATCTCTCCCACAAATGAAACAGTAGGACAACTTTCCAAAACGTGGGGCAGCTGATAATTCAGGAAATAAGAATATTAATAAAGAAATTAAATATACTTAGAACCATAAAAGCAAAGTAGATGAAATTGCAGGTATGAATATGCACGTTTTGGCCCTTATGGATTAACTGAAAGACAGCAGATATAAGATTCTTAGGAAAAACAGCTGCTAATTCACTGGGCTGTCTGTAACTTGAGCAATACAATTAAGTTGGGCTTAATTACTTGAAGTGCTACAAGAGGTCCCTAACTAAGTTTATACAGTTACACTGAGCAATAGTTCCTAAGCCAGCTTACACCTATGGGGGAATCAGCACCAGAATTTCAGAGGGAGTCAAGACAGCACAGTGTAATTTTGGCCTTCTTGATGATGCTGAATGAATGCTGAATCACACACAGAAGTGACAGTAAGGGCACTTAAACTTAAGACACACATTTATACAAACAACAGAGCTAATCTCAAAGTACGGGCAGAGCACTGCTTCAGTTAGTCTTCTGTGACAAATCTTTTATGTCGTTCTTATCCTACAGTCCCCTTGGGGGGCAAGATGAGGGAAGAAGCAGTGACAGAGGAATCCATTTCTGGATTTGGGTTAGGAATGCTGATACAGAAAGACCTAATGCTTTTAAAAAATGTGTCCCCTAAAGCTCAGAAGTCAAAGGGAATACTGTGCTGCAAATACTGTATTAACAACTACTTTTTTGAGTGGGAATTATTTTTTATAATTTGATTTTTTTTATATACTGTGGAAGATTTTTAAGAGGACAGAGCTTTCTTTAACCTAGCAAGCAATAGAAGTCCTGGAAGTCTTAGGCAAAGTAACTATAGAACAGATCACGGTCTCCCTGAATTAGGGAGCTGAAAAGACTAGTTAAAGAAAGTTTTTAAAATTAATTGCCAAGTGTTTACTGGGGCAGTTAGTAAACCTTCTTGTCAAGAGAAGAGCTTTTATACTGATTCATATAAGCAAGCAACCTGGGCCTTTTAACACACATGTAGTTTAATTCTGATTTCATATGCTATTGTGAATTCAGAGTAATTTTAATGAAGTCAGAGTTATATCAGCATAAGTGAAATGAGAATTTCTGAGAACCCACAGATTTGCTTATTGTGCACAAGCAACACCAAAAAAGCCTATATATCCAGGCTCCAGTTGACTTCCTTAGTTAACATGGATGTAAAATACCTACATGATCCACTGCAGGTGTAGCAAGCTACGCATTTTGGACAGATAGAGCCTTACCCCAGCTGAGAACTTTCAGCATGAAAAAAGATACAAATTCATTATTTGTACGAAAGGTGTATTGCAAAATTGGGTTTCAACAATCTGCAACACAATGTCCATAGCTATATAGCTTAAAGAAAAAAAAAAGTGTGGTGGTTCTTCCATTCAAGTAAAACTAAAACAAAAGAAAGAAACATAGAAGTTAAGCAAAAAAGAAAAAAAAAACCTTAGAAGCAACAAATTACAATTTCCTATAAAATAATACACCATTTGCATTAAATTGTAGTATTGTTAAGATGTCAAGGACATCAACAAAACAATCATTTCAAGTGGCTTTTTTGATTTTTGTTTTCTGAATGGGTCCAGCCCAGGTCTGCAACCTGTACAGACATGTAAAACAGTAGGGATTTACAGTTATTCATCATAAACACTAGCACATGCTAGTTATAAAATGACAAAGCAAAGAAAATACCTTCAGTTGTTAGCAAACACGGGCTACTGACCACTATAGGGCTATTAACATTTTACATAAAAAGGAAAGTTGAAAAACAAAACAAAACCCCCACAGCTCCAAAACACTAATAGCAGGGTCATCACATAGAAAATTTTCTACATGCTCGGCAATTCCTATATTGCCCTTAATATGCAGGCTTATATCTCCTCCACAAGATGCCAAGCTACTAACAATTTTGGTTTTATTTAAATGCTTTCTTTTTTTTAAATTATACTGAAAGTGTTTTTAACCTATGAAAAAGCTACTAATGCACTCTTTCAGAGCAGAAAAATGTGCATATGTAAGTCAATACAGGCACCTTTTAGGAAATCAAAGAATAATATTTTCATGAAAAACTAATCAGCAGCAGCCTGTTTCATCATTAAATCAAGCATAGCTTCACAGTTGAAAAGTTACTGTTTTAAAAATTGTATTTTAATAAATCACCATTATGTAATGGCTCTTGTAGTAAAATGTATGGCCCAGTCCTGGGCTCCTTGCTCTCATAGGCCTCCTGGAAAGTCTGGCAGGAGGAAAATACTCAGTTTCAGTTCAAACTTGAACTAAAGTTAGTGTTTCGTGCAGCTGATTCTCAGAATAAAGGGAGTATTTTCAAATTTCCTTTAAGTGTCAATAGTTTAAAAATTATTAAAAATTTAAGTTCCACAGCTCAGCTACAGGTGTTTTCACAGTCTGCAAATAGATCTTATTTCTGAAACCAGGAAAAGATGACATCCTCTCAATTACACCAATCTGACTCAGTAGTAACTCACTCCACTATCTTCAGGGAAGTTACATCAGCACAAGACTGGTGTATTTAGGGTTATATAGGGTTATAAGTAGGGTTAAATGCTTTGTTTTCCTTACCGGAAAAAAAA